GACGTCGCTTTGCGATCCATTGATGGCTGTAGTCCCGTTGTTTAACCTTCCCCAAAAGTCTACGATAGAGGTGGTGTGAGTCCCTGCAATGGAATCCACAAAATTATTAGAATGGTTGGCTATATGGTGAATACATCAAGGGGATGACAGAGTGTTATAACCTTTCGGCTAGTTTGTGTGTATGGTAGATCTTCGTTTCTCCAGCGGAGTAATAATAGGTATCAATGTACTTGACTTTCTATCTGCTGTCTTTTTGACAAATCCTTTCCACCCAAACATTATTCACTCGTTCTCAACCGTGGTTGTAATTTTTTAATAAGGCAGGTTCACCTACATGTATGACGACATCTCCTCCCAACTTGAGGATAAGCCTCTCCATTTTCCTAGGATTCTACATCCCTACCGAGCTGAAACCACTGAACTGTTAATACGGGACTACTTTCAGTTTCAGCAGCTACACCTTTCACAGGCTGTTTAAAACGCAGTAATTACAAATATATAAGATCTGGGTTAAGAAAAGATGGGGTCTGGAAAAATGTTCCTGCGAATTACGAAAATCACCAGCTTACCTTCCATGAAACTGACTCGTCTCAAACAAGGTGTACAGTGATGCGCATGTCCATCAACATAACCAAATACCTTCTCTTCTAGACAATCCCACATCTACGCAATACTGGAAGACTTGATCCTCACAAAATTGCAAACGCATCTGTGTTAGATAAGGCATTTGACGGTAATCGAGTCGGACAGAAGCTTCAAATCCAGGGAATAAAACTCCCTTGCCAATCAAGGTCACTGGTGCGGATGCATTCTATTAGTAGTTAATGGTGCCCAATGTTTAACCTGTCCAATATAAGATATATTCTCAACAACAGCGAGCTCCAGTCACCTTAAAACGGAAAAAATGGAGGAAGCCGACTCTTTTACTCATCTCGTCGGTATCGTTGAAGCTGTAGGTGGCACGAATGAGGACCTATTGATGAGATACGAAAAGCAAGGCACATTCTCTACCATTTAATTAGTGTGGAAATCTACTGTACTAAACACAAAGACCTAGATTAAGATTTTCCACATTGATCCAGGGTCGTGAGGTTTCCCTGTGAGGTTCAGAAACTTGGCTTGTGTGTAACAAGAGGCATTTCCAAAAGGATGCTGCACACTTTCATCAGTGTTTGCCCTCTTCACTTCCCAGTATTGAAGATTAGATGGCCAGCCAGAAGGAACTCTGGCATTTAACCAACCAAGAACCTATGGTTGGACAAATATGCGTTAAGAGTTAGAGATGGCTTGAACATGAGCTGAAAAGGTTATTAGGTGAAATCAGGCGCAATACATATCCTGTAATGAAGCACAAATGGGAGAAGACTAATCTTCCAGACTGCTGAGAACAGAGTGATGTGGTGACGTGCCATATGCTCCATTTCAATCCCATGGGAATAAAGATATTGTTTACGTGGTACTTTAAAAACTTCCGGGTTGGCGATATAGGACTAGCATGGAAGGAAGGCATGTAGGATTGGTTGGATAGATGCCATGTAGTAATTATAGGTTAGTGTGAACTACTGAAATAAAGATGGGGGTGGCTTGTTAGTGTAGGACATCAAAAAGCTGTGTTTGCTTGGAAGAAACGTGGGGGGAGCATGGAAAAGTTATCACCGTAGAACAGCCAATCTGAGAGGGGCCACAGTCACACTGTGGCGAGTCCTGCAATTTTTAGGAGTGTTCAATGAACGCATGCTTAAGAAAATTAGGTGAACTGTGTGTGTTAGTTCCACGGATGGTGAACCGTCCCTATGTGGGAGTATTGCTTGACTTAGTTATTCAAGAAAAACTGACCGAGGATAACTCAGTGCTTTTATGGTAAAGCGAACTCTGAGTTCATGAGTTCATGCAACCAAGAGAGACGCAGAGGCTTCACTACTCAAATGGCTATCAGTTCATTGATTTTTTTAAACGAAGATGAATATGAGAAACCTTACACTTTACACACATTTTGGATTTCTAAAGGCACAAGATATTCCCATCTGATTGCTTACACTATACAAAAATTGGGCTGAAATTATCCCGCATGCTCAAGGTCATTAGTGGAGTGAGACGCTCAAAGGTCATTTTCGTCCATGTTAGTCGGCCATGTTGGATTGCTGTCCCATAACCGTTCGTTTACACATTGGTTTTTACGTTTATCCTGCAGTTATTCACAACTAATCTTGATGCATATTGTTCACAAATGTTGCGTTTCAACTAATTTTTGTTTCCGCTGCTGTTAAAATTAGTTATTTCGTTTGTTTCGAGAGTTTTTACCACCAGGTCAGTGCATTCGTTTCATTATAATTGTTTCATACCTTGCATTCATGCGTGCTTTCAGTGTTTTAGTTGTTTTTCATCTAATTATGAAATAGTGCTGTGTAGAAGTTTTGGAAAATATGGATGTGAACATGTTTAGCTGACAGAAGCTGACGTTTTTAGTTATTTTACTGGTTGCCGTTATTGTTTCTGGCTCAACTGGCTACTTAATATGTAGAAATCTGGAAAAAATCAATGTCTTTCACGTTAATACATACACCATGCAACAATCTACGAGCGTATCTGGTGAAGGGAGTGCGATCAGAGTTGATATTAGCAAGGTTTTCCAAGAACAAACTAAACCTCGAAAACTTGAAACCTAGTTTGAAGATGCAAAAGATTTGAAGCTTTCCGAGAAGCTGAGTATGCCATCAGTGTCTATTATCAGTTAAAGAATTGGATATATTGTCAGAGAATCTAAATCAAACAAGGTTGAGCCACATGAGATGTGAATCTGTTGTGCCTGTATGTAGTTTTGGAACTGAAAGAAACTTGAAAGCAATCAGAAACCCCTAAATGGTAAGTGTTACCTATGTTTATTAATGCCCAATCTACTAGATCCAAATATATGAACTAGAACCGCCTGTAGCAAAGGCAGTGTTAACAGCCATTCAGTGTGTTGCAAAGCGACTTAAGAAGCGAATAACACGATTTGGTAAGTGTACGAACTATCCAAGTTAAAGGTAAGACTTTAATTAGCAAGAATAACGTTTCGGGTTGTGGTCTACAATCGGTGGTTTTCCCGAAGTTGTGATTTCTCCGTGGCTATAAACATCGATGCCCATTATTTTTAAGTAAACTTTAAATAAATTTTCCTTGAACCAATGGTCTTCTTTTTCTTGGCAAAACATCTGTTATGATTAGACGATTATGTAGCAAAGTAGGATATTCTGTGACTGAGAATCGTAGTCGTATTTCGGACTAATTTCCCGCGTCTGACTGTTATAACCCTATGGAAATGGCTTTTTCCTCATGGTGCATTATGATATCTAGGAATTATAAGTGCGCTGTCTTTTGTAGATTTTTTTCTAACTTTTAAGTGACTGCAAATAGTGAGTCATTTGAGGTTATGGAACGAATACCTCTAAACGCATTTGTGGAGATTAGGGTATATTTACTTTTTTGACGAGAAGACGACATTTTTACCGAGAAAGTTCTCAGAATTTCCACTTTTACTTTATTATTCAAAGATAACTTTAAGTTGCTCACTAAGGTAGTAGCTATGGGAGATTACCTTCAGCGGAAACCACTTTAAGGTAACTACGTAGCTTTAGGTAATGCGTCATAGAAGTAAGCAGCGTAGGTTATACGCAAATTTTAAGGCAATCTCTAAACATCCATGCTGTTGAGGCATCATTCTCTCATCAAGATTACTCGCAGATCAACTTCACACTAAATACGTTTGAATTAAAGGAAGTATTGCAAATGTGTAACTTAGAAATTGATCCACAATCTCAGTAATGTCTACTGAACATGGTTTTGTGAATTCTACAGAAATTATATTATCACATTTAGGAAACTATAGCCATCAAATATAAGCTGAACATGACTCAACCCTAAGCAACTATGCACAGTGTTAACAACATAGACAAACACTTCAAATATTCTAAGATACGCAGACCTGTTGTGTTGATGAGGATAACAATAACATATAATGCAACCCAGACATTCAATCGTGACACTGCATCTGTACTGTTTCAGGTAAATGGAAATTTCAGAAGATATTCATCTCCACGATTGGTGATCAAAAACATTGCAGTATTAAGTTTACAGTGTCAGGCGGTAGATTAATAATAATAGAGCTAACTAGATTCACTTCTCGAAATCAACACAAACCATGTTATATTATTTCTATACACTGAATAATTGCACTAAGTGAAACTGAGGAAAATTAAACGAGTTATTGCCTTCTCAAATGCACTGCACTTGCAACAATCACGAGAACCACCTACATTTGTTAGCCTAGCAGTCAGCTAAGCAAACAATGGCACAATATTAATAGAGGTTTCTTTTATACATTGAATTCACATAACCCATATTATACTGCGCCAATCAGTGTAAATATATATTAAATCCACTTAAAGATAACCTTTCAACTTACCATAATTCCTGTCCAAACACATATAGTGAAAGACACATCTACATGATAACTTCTGTTCCCACAGAAGGTTTTGATAGCATTTATAGGTGATTCCCATGTACTGATAGCATTCTATTGTCAAATAGTACCGTTCTTCACACGAAAATAGCCACATTTTGACGTGATCTTCATTGAATGACACTATGTCGAAAGCTGCAGCTTCTACAAGAAGTAAACTGTTTGAGCAGATGACATTACCCTCCAACTACCCTACATTCTTCATTATAGCGATGTTTAGACTCATTCCGCATGAAACACTAATCATTGTAACCAATATGATAAGAGTGTGTCGCAGTCACATTACATGACGCGGACACCAACATAACTGGGCAGGAAATGAGAATTCCTATCAATCCAAAAAGCATATAACAAAATTTTATTAAAAATTGTTGACAAAAAAATTTACTGACCGAAATTTCAACCAACATGCCGGATAAGTCCAGCCCAAAAATTGGTATCCGAAAAGATTGACACTTTTACATTTGATTGTATTACTTGCTTTCGGTTTTGACTAGAGCTAGTTTTAAAGCTGACGCTACAGCTGTTATTTGTTCACTGATGTGATTTTAAAGCACTGCGGATATACCTAGTTCATTTTGCTGGTGGTTGGTGTCATCAATATGTCTGGGAGTCATTCAAGCTCTGACGATAGCAGTGATTCAAGAAAAAGACCCCCGGAGAAGGATTTAGACCCAGACACAAGTCCTAAACGTCCGAATTGTGGTAAGTTTTGTTAGAAAAAATCAGAATGAACACTTAAAATGGCGTTTTACATATTTCGTATTATAGAGGATAATGTTCAGCTCAAAATTCTGGTACCGTCTATTGCTGCTGGAGCTGTTATTGGAAAGTCTGGAGAAGCCATAGGTAGAATTCAAAAAGAAACTAACACAAAAGTCAAGATATCAAAACAAGATGAATTTTATCCCGGTGAGATTTCAAGTTAATTACATGTAAAATTTCACTTTATTTGTCTTTTGTTAATAGCACTTTACATAATAGTAATATTAATAATAATCAAAGAAGCGAATTTATTCATTACTCAAGCTTTGTGTGACTTGTCTAGTTTTAGATTCATCGCCGTATTTTTGTCGTTGAATTCTGCATTCAAAAAGGTTTGCATTAATGAATTTTCATGTAGATTAGCCTCTGTGTATAAATCATATATATATATATATATATGATTTAATTGTTACACAATTGGTAGGATATTCCTCTGAACATTTCTTCGAATATCTTAAGTATGTAGATAGTCTGATTTGCGCCAGAATTGTAATTTGTGATATTCATTGCTGTTAAACGCTTGAGGTGAATTTTCAGTATGTAATTGTAAGGATGTCACCGAATTTTAATTTTTAAAAGTGTCCTACATTCCTTTGGTCTGCTTACCAATCCTGAAGATACTAAATGTAGTTCAATAAAGATAGTAATATGCACATAAACTCTACAGCAGGGAATCTAATGTAGTCTGAAACATATAGGTAAATTAATTAGATAGGTATTTGATTTATCTAGTCATTCACAGCATTGAGAACCGAGTCATTCTCTCTAGAAAGCATCTATTTACAGCACATACAGCATAATGTTATCCGGTGATGTGATACTAAGTATTAGTATTGTTTGTCGCCTCTCATTTTAAGATAATTTGTCAGATATTCATCAGACAAGAAAATGATATTTCAACTTAATTTTGTCCTTATAGTCTACCTTCTTCAAGCGCGGAGATGTGGCTCATTTGACCTTCAACCAATGGGTCACGGGTTCGAGCCGTACTCCACCTATTTCAGCCGTCTATACAACTGGGTGTTGTCATAAATCCTCAAGCAGGCACATGCAGATTAAGTGTGTGGCTGATAACCTAATACATTCCTTCAAGCATACCTTTATGTATTTTTCTAAGTTGCTCGTATGAAAACAGTTATCTAAGATTAAATGGCCTAAAGACACCATTCTCTCTCAAGTAATCGTTTTATTTTTGTTTAAAATTCGTCAAATTAAGTGAAGATTTCTGTTTAGTCATATGCATAGTTAAATATGAAATAAGTTTGATGTTGGAATAGAATTGAGTAACTGTTTTAGACATAATTCTATTTCGATTTTAGATTTTCAGATTTATTGGTTGAGTATAGAAGGCTTGAAGACTATGTTAATCCTTTTCTAGTAAATTTCTGAGGTTGTCCAAACCCTTCTTGAATGAATCAATTAAGGCTGCAGACACCACTTCTTCTGGAAGTCGGTTCCAAAATTTTATAACGGTGTGAAAACCAGTACTCAACAGCAATATGATTTCTTCTTGGTTTTCGAACTCTCCTGCTTTATCCTCTAAGGTGTTCTGACCTGGTGGGAAGAAATAAGTCAGGTCCGTAGTCATTATCTAAAATTTTAAACACTGTGATTAAATCTCCTCTCTGCCTACGGTATGACAGGGAGAAGAGATTTAAACTGTCTAGTCTTTCCTCGTATGATAAATTAGTCATGCCGAGGATCATACGTGTTGCCTTCTTTTGAACCCTTTCTAGAATATGTGAGTCTCCTTTAAGACAAGGACTGGCTGCCTGGACACAGTTTTCTAGACTTGACCTCACCAGAGATGTATATAAGGAGGTGGACATATCTTTGGTGATTCTAGTAAAGGCTCTGCGAATTGCCCATGAGGATCTGAAACTACGTGCAGCCATCGCGCGACAGTGTTTTAGATCGTGGCTAACTATGACACCTAAGTCCACGTGAGTCTGAACTGATGGAAGTGTTATTCCCTATAGTTCGTAGGAGCTGATGCTTGCTTGTCCGATGCGCACGGTTGCACATTTTGCTATATTGATCTGGATCACTCTGACAATTTGTTGAGGTTCTTTTGCAACGTGAGCGTATCACTGTTACTCTTCAGCTCTCTCCAGATTTTTCACTTATCTGCGTATAGGACTATGGGGGAAACAGTGAGCAGAGATAGAAGAGTTGGTGTTAAATAACTATCCTATAAATTTCATTAGAAAGATCAGAAGAGGTCAAAAGCAAAATAAAAATAATGGGGAAACTAATAATGATGACATAAATAAGAGGGAATATAAGACATATACAGTTCTACCATATAAGGAGGGGAAATCTGAAACCCCAAGTAGGATTCTTATTAAAGCAGGAAGTAAAGTGGCATTTATACCTACAAACTCACTCAGGGACAAGCTCTGTAGGTTAAAGGACCCTGTCGGTGGACCCGATGAGGTAAAATAATATAATTTACAAAATATTTTGCAACTACTATGAGGCCAATTACATAGGTCAAACTAGTAGGTCGGGGAAGTGAGATTATCAAAACATAAGAATTTAGCTAAGGTTAGAATAATTGACTCCACGAAGATAAGTAATGTAGAAAAAATGTAGAAAAATCACTGCATGCGTGAACACACAACCACACAATAGGGTGGGAGAGGGCTATACTCCTAAAGAGTAATATAGGTAGGCGGATAGAGAGGTTGATTACTGAATCTTCTTTCATCGAATCTACATCCAATACGTGCAATAGGAATGGCTCATTGCTAATACCAGAGATGTGGAAAATATTAATACGAATCAAATCAAGCGATGAAAAATAATGGAATTATATAAACAGTGTCAGAAAGTTGTGTGAGTAGTGCCTTGATATGATTATGAGCAGTAATAAATTGTGTTTGAAATGTCATCACTAAGTATTACTGTATCACAACATTGTGATACTTTATCAAATTGATTTGCAATGTAATTCATAATTCTATCAGGACAGAAGTTAGTTTTTTATTAGTGAGGTGTGTATATTTTATCCTATTTTGAAACTCTATGAGTCACAGATAAGATAATAAAACAGCAATACAAGGAGTAGTAAAATAAAGTGGTTAACGTAACAGGGCAATTCGCCCGTTGTAATAGACTACAGACTATATAATTCTATATTGGGTTGACTTTTATTTGGTTTAACACAAGTTACGCAGTCTTGTGAAATACATTGATATGATTGTAAAGATTAATAATTTGTGCTCGCAACATCATCCTGTTATTATTAATAGTGTATCACTGTGTGTGAGTGTGTGTCTTATATGGACCGAAAAATCTTAAATATTGAAGTTAGGTGAGGAAAAATAACTGTGGTTATAGTAACGGAACTTTAATCTAGTAACGCGTATTACATTGACAGCTGTGAGACAAGAAAGCCCAATGTCTACTTACCTAATCTCTTAATAAATGTGTTGCGTAGTTAGACTTACAGGGAGTTTCTTGTTTCTACTATTTTCTACTACTGTCTCATCAGTGTCATTTCATTCACAGATTGAATAATGGGAATTAGTTTTATTTTAGCAATATCGAGTAGCTTAACAGTGAAACAAGTAATACAAAGTCGCAAGTGATTAACTAAAATTTTATCTAGAAATTATTATTCCGTACTTCGACTGCTTGTCTCCTCATATTCTGCCCCGTGGTAATGGTTACAAAATTTAGGCATCAGTCTACTTTTTAGTGATCATTTCAGTTTTCAAGTCGATTCAGTTCTTTCCATTATTTTTTGTTACTGATTTTTACTCATTGGGGAGAGGGATTTAAAAGGGAAAGCGTTGTCGCAAGATTGACAAGAGGCATGTATCTGCACCCACTATTGATGGTCAGCTGTTAGAACTAGTCGATAAATACATTTATCTAGACAATTGTGTCACTGCTAGAACAGGCATGTTTAATGACATTTGTAACCGTATGCTGAAAGCCTGCTTGGGTAGCATAGATCAACTTGGCGTTGTCCTGTTACAAATGTATTTCTTGACTAGATCGGCGTCGAAATTAATTCAAAACCCAAAACTTTGCATATCAACCTCCAGCTCATTATTGATTACTTGATAGATGTCCTTAAGGTATTTCATGAGAAGTTGTGTAAGCGGTGAAGTTCAATATGTCAGGATGAAGCGGACGCCACTCACTGGCGAATCGACATAAGTTAGAATTTACGAGTCAGTAAATTACAACCTAGTGGCTGAGCAGTCAACTGGCTAACCTTGTCAGTTTGGAAGTCCTGGGTTCAATCCTGAGTGAGTTCATGCGGGCGCAGTGATGAGGAGTGTCAAACTGGGACGAAACGAAACTGTCCGACACTCCCCAGTTCTTTAGTCATTCTCTAACTGATCTAACTAGAAATCAAAGAAGTCTCTGCAAATTGAGTATTTACTCTGCAATTGTCTGTTTTACAAGTCGCTTGTTCATCGGAGACTCTACTATTTATAGCTTTACTTGTTTCTGTGTGTGTGTACATTATTTGATAACAAATTCAACCATTTCGGTTGTTATATATATGTATAATTTTTTCCATGATTCATTTATTCAAAAAAACTTGTCAATCAAATGAAATATGTCATTTCTAATTTTATCAGCGCGAATACTTTTATATCAAGTGTGTATATGTGCGCGTGTATGTGTGATTTTATAAATTACTGTCACACATAGAGGAATCAGACTGTTGCTTAATATCAATATCATTCATACATTTTTAGACTTTAAATCATAAGGCTACTTACTGGGACTTACACACACCGATCGGTCTGTGTGTGTGTGTGTGTGTGTGTACTGTAGTTTTTGGAACTAAATACTCAAAAAGTACATTAACACCCCTTTTTAAAGCACTTTACTGTGTGTGTATGCATGGGAATTCATTTGGCTTGATTAGTTTTCCTCCTCATTGCTTTGCACTCTGAATAGAACATAGGGCTGCAGGCTTTTTCTGAAGTTTTGATAGCAGTGATGTTTTTTTGTCTACATAGTAGGATTGTTTACCTCATACACCTAAGCTTCCATCGTTTTTTGGCTTACTACTACCTAAGAGTCTAGTAAACTCTAGGCACAATGGATTTCAGGAGTGTGTGTGTCCACGGGGAATCGAGTGCGTGGCTGGCGATCATTCTGCTACTAAACCACCGTCG